ATCATTGAGACATGACTCTTTCCAGAAGAGATGCTTTCAGATGTGGAAAAAATTCAAGCGCATCTTAAATTGTGCATCAATGACTGCTGTTCCTCTGTGTGTGTGTGTGTGTGTGTGAGAGAGAGTGTGAGTGTGTGAGTAATTGTGATTGAAAGTAATTTCTTTGCATGCACACAGTAGTGAGAGAGTTGATCAATTCAGGTGCAGACTCGATTGGTGTGTTTTTGTATGCGTTTTCAATTCACACCAGCAGAAGATCTCCCCCCCCCCCCCCCCCCCCGACCCCTGCTCCCATAGCAAAATTGTAAAGAACATTTTAAACCAATTCTGAGTTACCCAAAGCCCCATAGGGACCTGTATCTGTGGAACAAAGAATTATTAAGAGCCATTTTGTAAAATATATATTTTTTTTAAATATGGGGCTTTAAGTTTTACATTAGAATGTTTTTTGTCCTTAACCATGCGACATTCAAATAGCACTAAGTTATTGACATCAGATTTGTTGGGTAAGGAAACTAATGGAAAAAGAAATGCAATTTGAGTGAGGCATGTTTAGTTAAAAACAAATTGTAAAATGTTAGCAAAGGGTTCTTTTTATAAGAAAAGCTGATGATTGTAATTATTGGACAAATTGTTAATGCGGCCCTAGAGAGAAGAGGCACCAATAACTAGAACCACGCTCTGAGAGCAGAGTTGGGGAGTGTTGTTGCAATCCTGAAGAAAAACACACACACACACACACACAAACTGCCTTCCTGTTCATACAGTTGCACACAAACCCTCAGTATGTATGACACCCTCACTGCACTTTGAGTGGTCTTTCCGCTCTCTTGCACATACACCCGTGGCATAAATCCATAAAGTTTAAAGGCTCATGGCTGCCACACTTTGCCGTCATTATGGCTTAAAAGGTTGCATCGGTAAAGACTTCAAACCTAACAGGAGATCGCTGAAGCAATTGAGTCCTCACTATGCCTCTATGCACCCAAAGGGAGCGGCTGGCCCAGGCATTATAAAACGCAGCGTTGTAAGGCCTCGCCTCGAGGGTACTACTTCTTGAACTTAGAGAGAATTCGGCGTCAACAACCCCTTTGCTCTCCAGCCAAGTTATTCACTGGTCTTTGGACCATTCAAAGCTTTCTTCCTCCCTTCTTCAGGGTATGTAATGGCAGTTTGCTACAGACTGATATACAGTAAAATGTTAAAAACAGTGCTTTTCTGTCTGTTTTTATTGAACGTTTTTTGTTACTTTTTTTTTTTTTTTTTTTGTTCACATTATAGCTTTTTTTTTTTTGGTTTATCTTTATCCCTGTATGATTATATTAAAATATAACCAGACATTTGGAGTCCTCCGTTTTCTTTTTGTTAATCGTTATAATCCCTCATGTTTGTTTTTACATGTATATTTTTTTTTGTTTGTATTGAGTTGCATTCTGTCTAGCACCACTATCATAAGTAAATATGCACATTAGCACCCATGCTAGTTGGAGTGGGAGGAATCTTAGTGTGTTGCATTGAATTAAATCAGGTTCTAACGTTCCACCCCTCGCCTTTAAAGGAATTTCCTTCTATTGCATCGATCGCATCTCCGTGTAATTAATCTCTTGCTGTGCCATTGGCAACTGCTACTTTTCTGACTCGTTTCAAAACCAAATCACAGACGCCGTTGTGTTTTCTGTAGGTTACGTATGAACTGGACCACAGAATACTCCTTTGATGCCATACATAATTTGAAAAGACTTTGGGGGTGGGGGTGAAAAATGTGCACACTAAGAACCTGGAAACTCATTTCAATAAAACATCATTCACCTGCTGGTGACAAAAATGCTACGTCTGTATGCAACCTGGTGTTCTGTCTGAGTTAACGAGGAAGTCGTTTCTGATTTAACTCTTGTCTCATTTCTCTGAAGTGATGGTGTGGTGGTGGGTCGGGGCTGGGTGGGACACAAGGGCTTACTGTAGCTTCTCGAAGTTCTTTTGGGTTAGGGTGGGAAGGGAAGATGTTCGTTTTACGTTCAATGTCTTATTTGGAGAAAAAAGTGATTATAATGTTTTGTATTGTTGTGTAGGAAAAGTGTTATGTATGCATATTTTCAATAAAGAATTCAGGGTTTTGAGAAAAAAAAAAGTGACCCGTGGGAGTTTGGTGGTGCGGAGCCATGATTTGTTCACCCGTCTGATATCCAGGAAACCCAACGTTACCCCCGACCCTGTGCCGGTTCTGCCGAGTCAAGGTGTCCAATGGAAAACTCTGGGTTAATGATTTTTGTTCAAAAAAGGAGTCTGTATTTATCTTTAATTGTCTTTAAAGTAATGTTAGGGGTCATTCCATCCAAGAAGAGGCTTGAAACAAGATCAGTTGCCAAAAGAGTCCATTTATTTTTAAGTAAGCCTTGTTTATGATTGTCAACCATTTATTTGAACACGATGATTGCAGTTGTGAGAAATTAAAGTGATTTAAATGTCAAGTTTAAGTTTAAAAATGTTGAAAATATTTTTACATCCACATTATTAAAAATGTCTCGTATGTATTGCAGTAACTTGTTTTTGTGGTGGGAAAGTCATAACGAAGCAACAGAAAATGGGTTTAGTTTTATATTGTTTACATATTAATGTGTTTACATAATCGGACCTCAGATCCAGGAGGAACAATGCAGGTGCCGTCCTGGCCGTGGAACACTGGACCAGCTCTTTACCCTCACTAGGGTCCTCGAGAGGTCATGGGAGTTTGCCCATCCAGTCTACATGTGTTTTGTGGACTTGGAGAAGGCATTTGACCGTGTTCTTTGGGGAACGCTGTGGGGGGTGCCCTGTGAGTATGGGATTGGAGGCCCGTTTTTATGGGCTGTTCAGTCCCAATACAAGCTGTGTGAGAGTTTGGTTCACATTACCGTTATTAAGTCGGACCCCTTCAGGGTGGGAGTTGGATTTTGCCAGGGCTGCCCATTGTCATCGATTCTGTTCATAATTTTTATGGACAGAATTTCTCAGTGCAGCCAGCTGGCAGAGGGTTTCTGGTTCAGTGGCCTCAGGATTCCATCTCTGCTCTTCGCAGATGATGTGGTCCTGTTGGCATCATCGTGCCGTGATCTTCAGCTCTCACTAGAGCGATTTGCAGCAAAGTGAAGCAGCTGGGATGAGAATTGGCAACTCCAAATCTGAGGCCATGGTCCTCAACCAGAAAAGGGTGGATTGCTCTCTTCAGGTCAAGGATGAGGTTTTGTCTAAAGTGGAGAAGGGGTTTTGTTCACGAGTGAGGGAAGAATGGACTGTGAGATTGGCTGATGGATTGGTGCAGTGTCTGCAGTATTGTGGACTCTGTACTGGTCCGTTGTGGTGAAGAGGGAGCTGAGCTGTAAGGCAAAGCGCTCTGTTTATCTGTCAGTCTCCTACCCTCACTTATGATCATGAGCTCTGGGTAGTGACCGAAAGAATGAAATTGTGGATACAGGCAGTTGAAATGAGTTTCCTCTGCAGGGTAGCTGGACTCGAGATAGGGTGAGAAGTTTAGTTACCTGGTAGAGACTGGGAGTAGAACCGCTTCTCCTCCACATCGAAAGGGGCCAGTTGAGGTGGTTTAGGCATCTGGTAAGGATGCTCCCTGGACTCCTCCCTAGGGAGGTGCTTCAGGCATGTCCAACTGGAAGGAGAGTTCGGGGAAGACCCAGGACACGCTGGAGAGACTAGTTTCTTCTTTGATCTGGGAACGCCTTGGAATCTTAAAACAGCTAGAAGAGGTGGCTGTGGGAAGAGATGTCTGAGCCTCCCTGCTCAAGCTGCTGCCTCCACGACCCGATTTCGGAACAAGAGGAAGATGATAGATGGATGGGTGTTTACATATTTATAAAAACTAATTTTAATTTATCCTGATGCATGCTCACACCTGATCATTTTAATCTACAAATAACTATGGCATCTGTCTGGTGGTTAACGTCCGTTTCTAGAAACTTGTTTATGAAAATGGCCTCAAAATTAAAATGTTTATATTAGGATGGTGAGACAACTCTGACAAATGAACAAAAACACGCAGAAGTTGAAACTTTGTGTGTTATTCACCATTTTTGTTTTATAACTAAAGAGTCAGAGTCAGAGTCATAGTTTCTTTATTGTCATTCGCACCTCATGTGGTACATGTGGTGGAGCGAAGTTATGTACACGGGGTCCCAGTTACATCCAACAATAAAATGTATAAGA